AACTTCCTTGCGGGATAGTTGCATTATCTTGTGGCTAGTTGTCCAGTTCTGGCTGTTGAATCCAAAAGCTTGGTGCACCGAAGGGTCCCCCCCCCCCCCCCCCGCAATGGTGTTCTTCCGCAAATAAAATCCCAGGGTCCGGAGACGGAGTCGAAGTAGGTTCTGTCTTGATATAAAAATGGCAGCTTGGTAAAACGTAATCGGGTCGAACATGGCGCAGATTCTTAGTCCAGGGACCATTCTTAGTCGGGGTCTCGTGCAGGGTGCAATGTCTTTGCCCAAAATAAACGTCGTTGTTATATGAAAGAAAGTGGTTGTCCTGTGCTTGTCCTCCGTATTTTATTCTTTCAATTTTATGTATTCATGTTCAACCCGATCGCCTTGACCAGTCACTAATGATCTGCTTTATTTTATAGCAAGCACGAGTATTTCCAAAGGATTGGTATTGCATTTACACCAACATTAGTCGCACTCTTTATGAGTAGGTCCCAACCGTGTAACTTCCAGAAGCGTATCTGCGCAGCCTTTCATTGCGGTGTGCAAACATACGTATGAACTCAAAAACCATCAATAACGGACTCACACCAACCTTCCCCGCCCCCCCCCCCCCCATCTTCATTCACAACGCTTTCTCTCGCTCTCTCTCTCTCTCTCATTAGAGTGTTTTAGGGAACCCTTTGTGCACACCCGATACGGTACGATGGTCTCTCCGGTACGAACTGCGCATATGCTACCGCAGAACACTCGCGCATGCTCAGTTCTAACTGGAGGGCCCGTTGAACAAAATCGGATGGGAAAGAACTGTTCCCAACTCTCTATTACCTACGTGTCTCTGGTTCTCATGAGCATGACATTTTACAATTCAGAAATTCAGCTAAAATTGTATGTTCGTTAGATAGTGGGTACCTTTTGTTAGTTAGTATGTAGCTGCCTTATGAGGCAGCTACTTACGCAGACTTACACGCAATGTATTCCTTCTGTTTGCACTCCTATAACCAGGACTTGCAGGGCGATACTAAATTGGATCCACTCTTTACACACTTTGCAGTTCTCGGGAACAAATATTCAGGGCCTCATCATGCGACTGGCAATTATCCGGAAGGCAGAGTCCGTATCGAGATTTTTATTCAAACGTACTCGACGGGAGTTTGAATGGCGGACGCGAGCGTGCGTGCTCTCTGCTGGAACTTGCTTCGCTTGCGCTTATCTTGGTGTAAACATGCAGTTTAAGGGGGAATGCACTAGCGCTATTGACACTGATAGCGCTACGCATTATATGTAGTGCTTTGTGTTAAAGTGCTTAAACGCGCCGCAGCTCGGAATCACCTTATTCAGTGGGAATGCTCGAGATCTGTAGATTTAGGAATAAAAAGCTGAATTTTCGAAACTGCCTATTTTGGTCTGAAAAGGGAACTTTTTACTGACGTGCGTGCTTTCGTAAAATTGAAATTACGCGATGTAAATTTAAGGTGCAGTGTTTCTCAACCACCGGAAAATTTGACAACCTAAAACGGAGATACGTCTCGGCATGTATTAAAGCTGACTAACTTTCTGCTGCGTTCCAGGCAATCAATCTTTTTTTTTTTTTCTCATAGCGCTGCAAGTACTGTCGAGATAAATAATGACGGATTATAGACCAACGCGCTGTTTACAATCTAGCCCACATTTGCCCACATCACGTGTGGGCACTGCGCGTGCCCAGAAACCAGATTCGTGTGCTGGGATGCGTCTGCGCATGCGCAGTACCGAGAGCAGCGCCACCGCAGCAGCGTGACGTCAGAGAGTTGAGTTGGTGTATACTCGGTGAAACGTCTCTATGACATTTTTTAAAGAGAAAAGGTGCGTGCGTGCTCGGCTTCATTCTGCGCTCAAGCCCACGCGCCCAGATCTTTGACCGCGTAGTCAGTGAAGGTTGTGCCGGAGTATAGTCACGTGTACTTTATTTTATCATTAGGCACGCCGATCTTGTTGGCGTAAGGTTGGCCATTACTCATAAATCTACGGGAAAATAGTAGATATTGAAGCCAACTGAAGGGAATGTGAGAAATAGGCAAAGGAACCTATCTCTCCGCGACACCTTTATTATGATCTTGTGTGGCTGCCATTCCCTATGCCTAAATGACTTTGCTCCGCTCCATTACAAAAATGAACCGCATCAAAGGCTACAAGCCATGGCCTCCGAATCAAGCGGTGTGAGTGCGACACGTCACACGTGGTTCGCCGGTTGTACGCAGCATCGCGGGGTGTATAAACTATAACTTAGCTAACGTTATCCGGGGAATACGTTGAAGTTTTATGCCGTAAGGTAACACCAGCGACGACCCAAAGACTGCGTATTGAAGGGACTGCCAAGTGCTCGAACCTCATGCTTTCAGTCTACATACTGAAATCGAGTGTCTACGCTACAAATATTTTTAACGTAGTATGAGTTATAGGACTGGCAATGGTCGGAAAGACAGGTACGAGAGTTGTCATGGAACTTTACCGACATCATAAAGCAACATAGAATTAACGTCGTCTGGGTCATATGGGTCTGGGTCATATGATCATGGGACGTGTACTTGCTGGGCGATGTATAGGCCGCCATGTATAGCGATATTTTTTTTAACCTTATAGATCTCGAATTTGGCGGTCATCGCGTTAGGTTGCCCCCGATGGAGCAGAATATCCTCGCGATTGGCGCCTATCTTCCATTGACCGACGTAAGCTATTAGGGCACCATAAAGACAAATGGTCTTTTGGTCACGAGCCGAGGTGTGAATCTTGTCACGTAAACAATTGCACCGAAATGTACAAACTCAAAAACGTATTCTATTAGGTAGAGCGATTTTGGTCGAATATGACAAAAGTTCTGGTGCGTACATTTTCCTTGCACCTACGCCCCGGACACCGACATGACAAGGTTATCTTTTGAGAGAAATCCGCCAACCTCAAAAGTTGTCGCAAAGCTTTCTAATGCCTCAGCAGTGTTTAGATTACGCTGGTCCCTTATTTCCCAGTGCCGTCAGCGGACGTTCACACTTTGCTACAGTGCGGCTACTTGGTATAAACGTACCTTAATATAATTAAAGCAAATGTTTGGTAAAACTATACAGTAAATATCTCAAGTAACGTAGCCTTTAAAAAAAAAAAAAACCTTAAGCTGGTCCCAACTTCAAGCTGGGTTATTTCTCCAGCATGCCCAGTTTGGCATGGTGGTTGATCTGGTTATACTGGTCATGCTGGTTGATCTGGTCCCAGCTTCAAGCTCAAATTTTGCCCCACAATGCCCGGTTTGTCATGCTGGTCATGCTGGCTAGACTGGTGGATTTCCCCACCAGTTTAACCAGTTTAAATTAATACACAGAATAAACAATTAAGCCACACTCTTCGGAAAAGCCAACTCGGTGTACAATTTAATATTTTCTTACAAGCGGCCTGCTCACATGAGCTCAGATGCTACGCATTCTCGGCGCCGACACAGTAATAAGTGACGCACAAACATCGGTTCTCGGTGCAAACAAAACATGTTATTAAAATTGGATTTCTTATCTCTCAATACGAAAAATACTAGACACACGCCAAAAACAGTCAATAACAATAGAAAATACTACACAGATGAGAGAAGCGAGCTTGGGTCCCGCCTGTGAGGGGGGCAAAGCGACCTCTGGTGTAGTCGGCAGAGGTGAGTAAATTCATTTGACTTGGATGACATTTGCGATACTCCTTGGCACCACCGTCATTCACGAGCACGCACACGTTCGAAGACATGAAGCGACGCTTCAGTCGGGACGTCCGACCTCTTCTCGCTCTCAACTGGCTGCCCCTTGCTGTCTCCTCAAAACCCGCCTTGCCCGCACGGCCGTCCAAGTAGTCTCGGTACAGAGCACACAGCCGTTCTTTCGAAATTTTGTCCAAGCTAGCCAAACGTGTCTCAAATTATTTGTTCTTACCACTCTTCCTTTTTTCCCACACAAAGGCAGCTCAAAGCGCGCCTGAAACGCTCCGTACATACCAAAAACGAGAGGACAAAGCATAGAAAGTGGCCTCATCCCAGCTGAAATTGACCTTGGCGTGCGCTTCCAGGAAAACCAGCTTGACTAGCACGATTGGGAATTTGACCAGCTTCACCAGATTGTCTCCCAGCTTGAAGACATTGGCTCCATGGAAGACCAGCTTGACCAGTTAGGACCAGACTGGCTCCCAGCTACACCAGATTGAATCTAAAACCAGATTCTAGTTAGACCATGCTGGTTTTACTTAAATCAGATTGACCAGCTAGAATTCTAGTTTGTCCAGCCTTAACCAGCTTGATTTCGAATTAAACCAGCTCAATTACCACGTTGACGAATTTGACCAGCTTAATTACCAGCTTGACCAGTTAGATTTCTTGCAGTCTTTATTAATAGGGAATTAACTCAATCTTTTGAAATCTAGCGGGGTTATTTTTACGCTCTTATTAGTCACCCAATTGATTGGTCTATAGTCGGGGACAAATCAATACCCTAGGACTACGAAAAGAAAGGCTGGAAAGGAGGAAGCAGGCAGAATGCCGGGGAAAAAAACGGATCTTGCCTTCCCTCCGTCACTTGCTTTCCCTCGCCCTGGGTTCTTGACCTGTCGCCGAATTCCGTTCGAAGTGTTTTTACAGTCATGCGCTAGAGATAACATAGTATGGGTGCAGGCGAGCTGGTGAATGTGAACCATGTTGAATAAACCTGAGACTGGGGGTTTTGGGATGAACGGTGTAAAATGTCTGCTCCGACATGAAGGGTCCTCACTCATTACTTTGGGTGAATATTGCTCAGGGGCAGTAGTGTGAACTTAATAAGAGATAAAGCACTTTAATGCCGCGGGCAAAAATGAAATGAGCCGTGCTCGTTTGTAACGTGCCACTGCAGCTACGTAAAGAAAAAAAAAGAAAAAAAAGAAAAAAACGAGCTCTAGTATGTTGAAAGTTGCGTTGAAAAAAAAATTGGCGAGGCACCCCATTTCAATTTTTTTTTTCCAATTTTCTAAAGGATATCCTGGAAAACGAGGAGATCAGGCTGGACTGGATGTTCCGGTACTCGCTGATGCACGATCTGGTCAAGGGCATGGCCTACCTGCACAACAGCGAGATTCACAGCCACGGAAACCTCAAGTCGTCAAACTGCGTCGTCGACAGTCGCTTTGTGCTCAAGATCACGGATTTCGGTCTGCACAACTTGAGGGTGTACGACGAGAACGAAAACGAAGACACCTACGCTTATTGGAGGCGTGAGTGTCTTTCTTTGGTATGAAGCGCACTGTGAAATCTCAATCAATGGAGCTATTTTGCCTCACAATTGATGTGTGAGGGCGATTCTTAGCTTCTTGGTATACCGAACTTCACAAAGATACGCGTGTTCTGTTAGCCCGTCTTAACCTGCTTGCAAAATAGATATTTTCAAGAATGACAAATGATGAGGTGGCGAATAACTGAAGAAACTAAACATTAATGGGGCGAACTTGTGCCCAGAACACAACATAAGGAGGTTAGCGTCGCAGGCGTCGATGTCGGCGAAACAGCATGCAGGATCGAGCGCTTGGGCGAGACTGACCTCGGCTCGCTACTCAGAGCACCTTTTGTACCCGCGTGTGTCTCTAGAATATTCATCCTGGAGCATTCGGCCCGTAGAGCTTAACGTGATCAGATGGGAAGGCTTTCAACTTACGAGAACGCCAAGTAGAAAGAATAAATAAATAAAGGAAGATTCGCTCCCTGGAATTAAACCCAGAACGTCCGCGCGACAGCAAAGCATGCTACCCACTCGGCCACGCACGCGCTCGCTCGGCGACGCGTGTGGCATTACTCCCCTCTTTAAAAAGAGCATCGCCTCGATGAAACTTGGTGGAAAATAGAGCAGTAATCAAACAAAATTAATTTATAAAGAAAAAAACTGAGTTTGTACATTAGAGACTTTTTGAGCGTACTACAAAAACGCGGTTCACAGTCCTATCGATCGCCGCACGGCTTGAGGCGCACGACGTGAACGACTTCCAGTCGTGGAATGCGAGGTGATGAAGTCCGCGTTCCGTCGGGCATCACCTCGTACTTCAGATCCCCGAGTCGAAGAAGCACCCTGTAGGGTCCAAAGTAGCGCTTCAGGAGTTTCTCGCTTAGACCGCGTCTTCCTATCTGGGTCCAGACCAACACAGGGTCTCCGGACTTGAAGCGAACGTCGATCCGACAAAGGTTGTACCGGGTGGCGTCGACACGTTGTTAATTAACGTAGGAGTTTGGACTAGTTCTATTTCATGATTAAAAATTAAATACAAATTAGGGTTAGATTAATTTTTTTTCTGCCAAAACGCACAAGATTCACTGCCCACTACACGTGACTGTGTCGTAGAAAGGTACGTGGCGAAAATCTGTGACTTCATTTTTACAATCAGATAATAGGTTTCTCTTTTTTAAGACCACCCAGAGCGAAGCTTGTTTGCTTGCTCGATTGAGAGTAAAAATGTGTATTACTCGATTCATCATAAAGAGCTGTTGGCATCTGTTGAAAACTGAGTTGACAATAATGGTACCGTAGCGTTTCAGAATGAATCTGGACTTAGTGTGAGTCACTTTCTAGAACTTTTATCTTTTTATTTCAAGTTTACGCTTGCGACCTGGGATGTCGGTGTTTTTGTTCAGATAAATGGCGTTCGCATAGGGTCCTGCATAGCCCTAGAAGTTAAGAATATATTTCTTGCGTTCCACGGTAGAGTCTGTCAGGCAAGCTGAAAGGAACCAAGGTGAAAAAATGTTTTCGATTCGTAGATGACTATTTGGTGCCCCTAGATTGTGACAAGAAAGATATAAATTCTGCTGTGTCGTTTGTCCTGTCAACGTTTAAAATGTGCCTGAAACCACTGGTGCTGACGCATGAAGTACCTGTAAATGGGGCCATTAGATTTCTGGATCTGAGCCATTCAACTTAGACATGGCCATGTGTTCTGGATATATGATCCGAGGGCTAAGAAACCCATCTTGTCTTTTTCCTCAGCGCATTCCAAGCGTATGAAAATGTGAAAAGGGTAATTGTTAACCTCTGTTTTAGAAATACCCTCTTCAAGTCCGACTCCCACAGGGTAAAAGAGAGATTCGACACACAAGCATGAAGGCTCAGATATGCGGGATATTCGTCTTACCTGTTAGCAGCAATTGCTGATAGCCTAATTAAGAAAGGACATGAGAAAACGACCTAGCAGGCTCATAGGGTTAACAAAAAAGTAACCGTTTTACCATGTCTGCATAAGATCTCTTACAACCCAAAAGAAAGTTGGCCGAGGGGTAGGTGTTGATGTAGTTGTTTTGGGCTCCGGAAAAGCTGTCTGGGCTGTGCAGAAAAATGAACTCCTGCTCTAAAGAAAGGCAGGGCTGCACCAGAAAACACTATGTCCGATTCATGAACTGTGTGGAGGAGGTAGTGTATACTCTATTCCCCTTGCGTGCGGCAGGATATATGTCGGGCAAGCGGGGCGCTGCCTCATTGATCGCTTGCGAGGGCATAAGTATATTTATTTATTTTATTTACACAGTACCTACATCGCCACAGGGGCATTATTGTAGGGGGTACATGGTACAGGAAAGTAAAATGATTATACGTCACATTTTATCAAACATGTTAATAAAAAGTAAGACTATTGATTGAAAGAAGTGCAAAAAGACTGTTACAAAAACTGTTACACAAAATCAGAAACATAACAGTACAAAACAAAAACACAGCACACAACTATTCAAGGATGTCTAATAATGAGGTGGAAAACATAGCATCCGAAGTTTCAGCGACCACGTGCTGCGGAAGACTGTTCCAATCACTAATCTAAAGACGTTGTGACCTGACACAACGTCTTTAGAGTTGTGTCAGGTCACCTTGCTAGGCATTGCCGAGACTGTTGCGACAAGTGTGAAGTGATTAAAAAAAATAAAGACATACTCACTCGAGCAATCATTGAGGTGCGGGAAATTGGAAGATTTGGGGGAAATGCGTCAGCACTCATTGACGATCTTTATCCGCTATCAACGTGGCGTCCATATCATGTATTTTATCTTTGTTTGTTTGTTACGACGTTACAGTATTTATACTTGATGTTAGTACGACTAAACTTTAGTTGTAAGTCAGCGCCTTGTTCGTCTGCCTTCTTGGTATTCTCCGTGTCCTTGCTCTGTTTTGATTTTTAGCGTTGTTAATCTTGAATCCGGAGTCGGGAGAGCTGGCGAACTTCTTCGGCTCGTTGACCAACCACCTGGGCGTCGGGGCTCCCATCGTCAGCTGGTTCGTGGGGTAGCATTGCGTCCAGCATGGTCGTTACTTTTCTGCCATGCACGAGCAGAAACGGGGTTACGCCTGTGGTCTCTTGCACGGCCGTGTTGTATGCAAACGTGACGTAGGGTAACAACTTAACATAAGTCTTGTGCTCCACGTCGACATACATGAAGATCATGTCGGCGATAGTTTTGCTGAGCCGTTCTGTTAATCCATTTGTCTGCGGATCGTGCGCATTGTTTCGACTGTGGACGGTACCAATGAGAGGAAAGATCTCTTGCGCCAGTTGGGCCATGAACGATGATCCATGGTTTATAATCAGCACTTCGGGGGCGCCGTGCCGGAGGACAATGAACTCGATAAAAAACTTGGCGACTTTGTAGGAGTGGTTGGGTGTTCGAATCACGTCCGGGTCACCAGTATGTAGGAGTGGAGGCTCGGTAAATTACACTCTACATATTTATTTACAATATTTACACTATCCTTTTGACTAGCTCATCGAGGGGCCCTTCACCGAATCCCAGGGTCCATGCAGCTCGAGGTCCAGGCACCTCGTGTCCTTGGCTCGTGCTTGTCCAGTGAGCTTGGCTCCGTTCAAGCGCTGGATCGCTGCCGCTGGCTGCCGCTGCAACTTCAACAGCCGTACGTGATTGAAAGGCTTCCGTCTCGGCGTACCGTGTGACATAATCTGTGGCGGCGATTATCCAGCGGTTTTCTGACGTTGACGGCGGGAAAGGCACAAGTAACTCCATTTTGATATGGTGGAACGGCGTGGGCGGGGGAGCAATCGGATGCAGAAGTCCTGATGGCTTCGTCGGCACTTCCTTGCGCCGCTGACACTCGTGACATAATCGAGTGTAGAGGTGAACGGTATTCGGTAGCCTCGGACAGTAGTACTTTTCTCGAATCCTGGCTAGCGTACTGCTGTAGACAAAGCGTCCAGCCGTTGGGTCGTCATGGCATCCTTGGCAGATTTCTTCTCGAAGGCTTGAAAGAATAACCAACAGCCATGCTGTCTTGTTGTTAACGAAGTTCCCTTTGTACAGCACCACTTGCCGTATGGAGAAGGTAGGCAGCATTCGTAAGAAAGCACGGGGAACCGTTCTCGCTTGTTCCTCTAGGTGCTCGATGAGCGCTCTCAGTTCAGGGTTGTCTCTTTGGAGTGTTGTCATGTCGCTGACATCCAGAGCGCCGAGGAGACACTCAGTGTTGTCGTCCTCGATGCAGGAAGGACTCGCCTCGACTGGGGCCCTTGACAGGCACTCGGTGTCATTGTGCTTCCGGCCGGACTTGTACATAAAGGTCATGTCGAACTCCTGCAGTCGTACGCCCCACCGGGCGAGGCTTCCGGAGGGACAGCTCAGACTCGCGAGGCAACAGAGCGAGAGGTGGTTCGTGACCACGCGAAAATGACTTTAATGGAAATATGGGCGGAACTTTGTTATTGCCCAGACGACAGAAAAGCACTCTTTTTCAGTCGTTGCGTAGTTCTTTTCCGCCTTAGACAGCGTCCGACTCACGAATGCGATGACTCGCTCTGCCCCATCGTAGCTTTGGACTAGTACCGCGCCACGTCCGGTGTTAGTGGTGTCCGTGTAGATCTCTGTTTCAGCGAACTGCTGGAAATAACCAAGAATCGGGGAAGTCTGGAGTTTTCTTTTGAGCTCATCGAATGACCGCTGGTGTTCTTCTCTCCATTCAAACTTTACGGTGTGGATAGCTTTCCAAAGTCCGGAACAAACTGTCTGTATCAGGCACTGAGTCTGAGAAATCTTCTCAAGGCCTTCTTTTGAGACGGCGGCGTAAATACAGCTACGCACAGGTCTTCTCGGTGTCAGGGAGAACACCTTTGTTGTTCACAAAGTGGCCAAGGAACTTTAATTCACCATACGCGAACCGCTACTTTGTTGGCTTGAGTGACAGGCCGGAGGTCTTGATGGCTTGAAGCACGGCTCGAAGTCGCCTCATGTGTTCGTGGAA